ATAACCTTTCTTCCCCCATCCAAATTTATAGACCCCCCTGCTATCTTTCTGTGGGCCCCCAGGTTCTGAAGCCCTGATGTAGGCTTTTAAGGTCTGCAGGGCACTTTGCTACATACCGAGAGGCCCTGGGATGGATAGAGTCACAGAGACCTGGATTCCAGTCCTGCCTCAGACACCGATGAGCTGTGTACCCCTGGGCAAGTGACTTCCCCTCTGTTTGCCTCAGTTTTCTTCTCCATAAAATGAGTGGGTTGGACTCGATTCCCCTCTGATATGTCTTTTCGTCACAGCCAATCTTAGGAAGAAGGTAGGATCTTATTCCCATTTTATAGGTGAGATCACTGAAGCTTTGTGAGATGCTAGGGACTTCCTCAGGGTCCCCCAGCCAAGGAGTTTGTGTGTTGAGAGGCTGGTCCTAATTTGCAACACTCCCCCATCTTGTACCCCAGAAGTGCCAGTGGGGGGTCCCTGAGTCCTGGCTCCCCATCCTCAGAAGCCCTAGCTATCCATTGATTGATCAGCTGACCTGGTGAAGGATTGAAGATCTTTGCAGTTATCCTTCCTGTCCCGAGTACCAAGCTGACTGTGTTCCCTTAATTGTGAAAGGACAAAGAATAGTTCAACAAAGGCTTTCACATTTCCTTAAAATTGTAAAAAATCATGACGAGAGGCAGCATGGCATCATGGGTAGAGAACTCACAGCCTGTAAGACCTGGATGGAGACTTGTCCCCTTCTGGCTGTGTGACCCTGGGCGATGGCCTGTTCGTCTCTGTTCTGGGCTGCTCTCAGACTCTATGGAGCAGTGCTGGGTAGACCTGTATTCACAGAGGGAGTTTGCAGTCCCTTTCCCTAGAAACTTAATGTATATAGAAATAGAAGAAGTCTGATTTGGAGAGTTCCTAAGGGTATAAGTACTCTTTTTACCAAGCAAGAGAGTCCCAGAATCCTAGGGGGTGTCCTGAGGCAGATGGGGGCCCAGTCATGGCCAAGGGCCATAACAGCACTCCTTGGCCTTTCTAATAGAATGTAATGGACAAGAGCAGTCCAATCAATATGCAAAATAAAGAACACCTGAAATAGCGTGCCCTCTGTTGTAACAAAGGACCAGAGTACCAGCCCCCAAGTCCTTTTGTTTTTCCCTTTCTCCTTCCATCTTTGGTTTTTATTGCTGTTACTTCTATTTGCAGGTATTATATGTTATATATGATGTTCATGTACAGAATATATTCATGCATATTACTTATTACATTCAAAATCTGGTTCCTCAGCCTTTCCTTTACTTCAGAAAAAGCTTAATTGATGCCTTTTATTTTTATATCCTGGCCCCTCTGTGCTCTTCACCCAAGCATTGAACCCTACCTTGTTAATAGGTGAAAACAATTAAGCAAAAACAGTCATTACGGTGAGAATGGCTGACAGCATATGCAAAATCATGCCCCTGTGGTAGCCCTCCCTGCCTTTGTGGAAAGGAGGGAAGACATGTTTCATCATTTAATGAGCTTTAATTTGGACACATTGAGTTTGAGATGACAGCAGGCCATGCAAGTAGAGATGTCTGACAGTTGGCACTTTGGAAGGGAAGTTAAGAGAAACACTTCAGCTGGAGATGTAGGGTTGCGAGTCATTTGCTTAGAAATGATAGTTGAGTCCATGGGAGCAGATGAGATCTCAGAGGTTTAGAAGAGAGAAGAGAAGAGAGCCTCATCTGGAGCCTTGTGGGATACCCATGCTAAGAGGAAGGGAGATGGGTCATGAGGAAGACGGAGAAGGTAGCAGGGAGAGCCAGGGGAGGCAGTGGCTTGGAACTTGAGAAGTGTGCCCAGAAGAAAGAAGCTGACGTGGGCCAGGGATGATCAGGACTGAGAAAGAAGCCATCAGAGGAACCATGAAGACACCACTGGTAACCTTGGCGAGGGCAGGTGTAGTAACTTCATTGAGGTATTTTTTTAGGTCTGGGCTCTTGCAATGTCACCCATGTAGCCAATTTGGTAATTTCCTTGGGAGATTTGGGACCAGACAAACAGCCTCCTGGAGCCTCCATCAAAAGACCTTTACTTGCTTCTCTCTGAAATGGAGAGGGACTTTGAGTCGGTTTAAATAAATGCGGCCTCCTTAATTTAAGTGTTACAAGTAAAGGCTGCTCAGTAGACCAGTGGTAGAAGGATTTGAGCAAATACCTTTGAAAGGAAGAAATATAAACTATCAAAACCACATGAAAGAAATCTTGACAATCACTGTTAATCAGTGAAATGAAACTTAAAACAATCCTCTCACAGGCATCAAGCTAGCAAGGATGGGAAAACTCACTGTTGGAGGGGCTGTGGGAAGACAGGCGTGCTAATTCACAGCTGGTCCAGCTGTGAATTGCTTCAACCGTTCTGGAAAACAATTTGGAATTATGCAAGAAAAATTACTAAATTGTTCATACCCTTTGACTCAGACATTCCAGTACTGGGACTATCCCCCGGGGAGGTTATTGACAGCGAGAAAATATGTACAAAAATATACATAGCAGTCTTACTTGCCCAAGGACACCCAGTTAGTTAATGGCAGAGCTGGGATTTCAAGCCAGTTCTTTCGACTCCAAGTTCACTGCTCCTTTAGCATTGCTTCACATTGATTCTTCTCAATGCTTGTGGTTAAGAGTATAGAATGGTGAAAGTTTTGTTTTTGTTTTCGGCTTTGCCAAGCTCAGTGCTTGGATCTGAGGATTCACTTACTAAAATGCTGGTTGAATTGGATTTAATTTCCTCAAATTTCGTGGCTATTGTAAACATCAGTGCTGTAGGGCTGCAGAATCCTCCTGGCTATTTTTAGAAGCTGTAGTTAGGAGAGAGGGGAGAAAGTTTGCCTGGACAGGGCCGCTGACTTATTCTGGGTTGGCAATGTGGAGCTGGTGGGCAGTAGCATACATGTTTTAGCTGAGTTCCTGCCAAAGGGATGGGAGGCTTTAGCTGAATTCCCCCCAGAGGCATGGGAGGGTTTCTGGAGACCCAGAAGGATGGCTCAGCTTTGGTAAGCTCCTTGCTGATGGCCAGACCGGAGCCCTGCCAATTTCATTATAGACACCTGACACTTTGTGGAGGAGAACGGAAGAAGAGATTGGTTCTCCTTGGCATACAGATCTCCCCACAAAGAAGACCGGGTGGGTGGGTGGGGGACCTTTGAAAAGAAGATTCTTCATCAAGCTCTGCCTACCAAGATAGGGTGGGACTGCGTGATCACTGTGGTTTCTCTTCCCTTAGCTTGAGTTGGAAAAAACTCTGTTAATGCTTGTCTGGAGAATAAAAGCAGTGGGTGACTTGTTACATGACATCGTGATTGCCTGTCGACAGGCTCATTCAACAAAGATTTAGCATGTACTCTTGCACTGTGGGAGATATGAAGATGAAGAACTGGGCCCTACCCTCTCAGAGCTCAAAATCAAGCAGATTCTCCCGCAGCAAATCTGCATTTCCTTCAGTGCTTTCTCTTGTCCTCTTGCTGCTATGCCCCCCCCATCTGCTTTTTTTAGGGCCACCATTTCATTTGTGTTTTGGCGAGACCCATTTCATTTCACGTGTGGACGTGGCCAGCTGCTAGCCAAATGCTCCCTACTCAAGTTCCCCAGAGCCCTTTTCCCCACTAGATGGGGTATGTTTTCCTGTTCCTGCTCAGTCTGATGCCTCAGGGCCCTGTTGCCCTCTCCCATTAACCCCTGATCCAAATCCATCTTGGATTTTCTTTCATACAGGGAAACAGCATGGTTTATTGGAGTCTAGAGATCTGCTTTCCAGTCTCTACTCAATCACTTATTCACCTTGTGACTGTCACCTGCTTGCATACTTTTCTGGGCCTCAGTTTCCTCACGTGTAGAATGGAGATGATGATTAACAATATTTGTACTACCTCCTTCACAGGGCTCTTGTTAAGTTTCACGTCAATGAAAGTGCTGATGTCAATGTTAGACATTGCTATTTAAGGAATAGTTTAACTAGCAGATACCTTTGGGGAGAGCTAATATTTTAAGTATGGAACCTCAGCATTAAGGTAGAAGTTCTGGTATCAGCCATTGAATTCAAGCAAGGGCCCAAGTCCAGGAAGGTGGCTACAGCAAGAATTCAGAGCCCAGACCAGGGACTGAGGAGCGAAGAAAATGGGGGTGGGGTAGGTCAGGATCTAGGCAAATAGGCCATGTAAGGGGGCAGCAAGGCCATTCCTATTTTCATGGCTTGGGAAGAAGACTTGAATCTGAAGCGGGGTGCCTGGGGAGGGGCAGAGAGAAGGGACAATTCCAGACAACAAAGAGCCCCAAATAAGGAAATGATCCATTAGGATAAAAACAGAAGTGCCAGCCTCATTTATTGGAAATGCCACCTCATTTATTTGTTGCTAATTATAAACAGTGACAGCCACACAGGCAGGAGAGGCAGTGTGGTACTATAGCTAGAGTCAGGAAGCCCTGGGTTTTAATCCCACTTCTGAGTAGCCGTGTGACCCTGGGCAGGTCCCTTAACTTCTCTGAGCTTTAGGCTCTTCTGTCAAACAGGGCTAACAAGAGTGCCTCCCTCTTCAGGCTCTTTTTGGGAGGATCAGATGGTTGTGAAGGCCCCTGTGAACTTTAGGGTGCTATACACGTGGTGGTGGTTACAATGGCACTTGGAGACTCGGGGCAGGGAGACCGTTGTGTCTTCTGCAGCCAATGTTTGGGGTCGTTCTCACCTTCTTTTCATATTCTGTTTTCATTTCTCTCTGATTCCTGCGGCCTGCCCCGAGTTATTGGGCATCCTGGCTGGCTGGTGGGCTGGCGGGCAGGCAGGCTGGCTGCCTCTTTTATTTGGCCCCACAGTATACACCAAGGCTTGCTTCTTGGCTTTTTTTTTTTTTTTGCTTCTTGGCTTTTCAAATTGGGTTGGAGAGCTGGAAGAGGAGGTCCTTTCCTTCCTTCCTTCTGCCATGGCCTGGTAGCTTGAGTCCAGGGAGGCTCACACTTTGCCTCTCCCTTTTCTTCCCCCTGCAGGTCTTTGAGCCTTGTGACCTTTACACAGGCAGCAATTTCTCCAGAGTGCTGAGTACCCTTTTAGCTGTCAACAAAGCCACTGAGGGTAAGGCAGGGAGGGGTGTGTGTGTGTATGTGTGTGTGTGTGGTGAGTGGGAGGGCTTCTTATTTGTGTCTGCTGTGCCCTGGGGATCTCTTGGGTAGTCCGAGGACTCCTGATCACCCAAGGAGCCAGTAGGGCCCAGCTCAAGGTACAGTTGGTGGGAACAGTTTTGGTATTAATGTATAATGGTTGAAACAGACACCTTGCAAATGCCCGGACATCTTTGTGTAGTGTGAAGAACAAGGGTCCCCAGATGAGTGGCATTATGGGATGGGTGGCGATTGGTGGGGGGAGGGGAGGGAAGGGTAAAGGTGAGTCCCCTTTCTTCTTATGGGTTGCAAATTGAGGACCCAGCTCCCCTCTTTCCATTAGAAAGACACAGCTTCTTACTGTCTTCCCTTTCCCTACCTTCTTCCTTTTTGGTAAACCCATGCTCTGAATCCAGCTCTGGTTACTGGTGAGTGGACAGTGCCAAGCTTGGGGTTAGGAAGAAGACCTGGGTTCTAGTCCCTGTCTCTGCTAGCTGCTCACTGTGTGACCCAAGGCAAGCCATTTCACTTTTCTGTGCCTCAGTTTGCTCATCTGTAAAACAGATAATAATTACACCTTCAAAAACAGAGTTGTTGGGAGCTTTAGATGCTATTTGAGGTATGCAGACTTTGAAAACATCATGGAAACTTTCAGCCACTCAGTGAGTGGAAGAAGTATCTATATATTTCCACAACACCTAGCCCAGGAATGGGGAACCTTTGGCCTCAAGGCCACATGTGGCCCTCTAGGTCCTCAAAGGCATTTGTTCTGTGAAGTTTGGCTTCACTTGAGGACCTAGAGGGCCACATGTGGCCTCGAGGCTGCAGGTTTCCCACCCCTGCTGTAGCCTAGAAATTCTAATCGTAATAATATCTTGTCTGTCTTAACTCTATAAAGTTACAAAGTGTTTCACACACATTCTCTGCTGATCTTCAAAGTTGTCTCTTGAGATAGGTTGCTAATATTACCCCCATTTTACAGATGGGGAAACTGAGGGTCAGAGTCACACAGCTGCCTGGAGCAGGAAGTTGGGACTCGGCAGCCAGTCTCCTGCCTCTGAGTCCACTTCTCTCTCTTCCCAACCATGTTGGTTTTCCTAAGAGATAAAAATATGATGATAAACTTTGTGTGGCAAACTCCCCCTTTTGAAAATCATTAAACTCCTTCCAGAATGTGGTGGGGTTCTCCATATGTACAGGTAATTGGAGATTGTGTCTATTTAAAGCTCAGTTTTGGTTTTTAAATAGCTGGATGGCCAAGGGAGCTAGAGGGCTGGCGTGGGCCTCTGACAGATGGAGTTGAATCCCACTGCTGACCCTTCCTGGTTGGGTGACCTTGAGCTAGTCACTTAAGCAGCTCCCTCAACCTCAGTTTCTTCATGAGTAACAATAACAGGAGCTTAAGTTTTCTAGTACCTTAAGGTTTGCAAAACACTTTCCATATATGACCTTGTTTAGTCCTCACAATGATCCTCTGAGGGAGTTGCTATTATTGGACCCATTTTACAGATCGGCAACCCGAGGCTCAGAGAGGTGAAGTGATTTGCCCCAGGGTCACACAACTAGGATGCCTCTGAGGGAGGATTTGAACCTAGGTTTTCTTGACCAAAGTCCAGCATTGCAGCCACTATGTGACCTTGTTTCATTTACCTCTAAGGCCTTAGTTTCTTCTTCTGTACAAAGGACTATATGACCCAAAGTTCCCTTTTAGCTCAGGATTTGGGATCCTGTGTGTGAATGCAGGCAAGTTCCATCCTCTCTCCGGACCTCAGTTTCCTCATTTGTAAAATGAAGGGTTTGGACTAAGTGACCCTTAAGGTTCCTTCTAGTTCAAGATCCGTGATCCTCTGGAGTCTCTCATGGGATGAATGATATCACCACCCTTTTGTTATGAGCCTCATATGAGGTCATGGATGCTTGGCCCAGCTTCAAGCGCATTAAAAATGTCACCTGTTGTTATTGGTTAATTTGATTCAACTGCTGTTCACTAAGTACCAATTGGATTTCTCTTTGCTGAGTGAAGAGGGGAGAGATTCCAAGGTTAAAGGCTTGGACCCTGCCCTCTGGGAGCTTCTGGGTTGGGCAGTTTTTTTTCCCCTGCCCCTGGAGCTCATAGGGTCTTGGGAAGACCAGATAGATACCCCGAGGACCATCTGAGAGTAATGGGAGAGCCATCTCCTCAATGGACGTCCCAGTCTGAGGCTTCGGGAGGCAATTGGCAATGACAGCATTCAATGCGAAAGGGCCCATCAGGAGTCGGCTTGGTTATTTTTTTTTTCAGCTGAAGATATCATTGGAAAGCTTGTAGCAGAAAGCTCATCTAATTTCGGGAACTGTCCATGACAAGTATCCTTTGGGGGCAACACAAATGATACCCTCTCTTGCCAAAGTCTCTGGATCAGTTTTCTAGGCCCTTCCTTGCCACTGCTGTTTCTAAGAATACAGTGAGGTGAAGGTTAAGACCCACAGCCTCAGGGAAGTTACTTGGCTACTGAACTCATCTCTTAGGGAATGCTGGGCCTTTGGGCGCGCCAGGCCCTTTCTAGCAGAGCAGAGTGGGGCAGAGCACCCTCTTTTGAATTTGTCCCAAGACCAGCCCCCACCTTCTGCACACAGTCATTGGGAAGGCAGGGGCTCACAGTGGCCTAGCTATCAACTTTCAGGAGGTTTAGGGGAATAGCAGATACTGCATCGGCCTGATGGGGGTTTTAATGGATAATTACCCATTCAGTGGCTGCGAGACGCACACACACACACACACACACACACACACACACACACACACTCTCTCTCTCTCTCTCTCTCTCTCTCTCTCTCCTCTCTCTGTGTCTCTCTGTCTGTGTCTCTGTCTCTTTGTCTCTCTGTCTCTCTCTCTTTCTTTTAATCTCTGGGTCTCTTTTGCTCTCCCAGTGGAAGGGGAATATTGTAGATCATGCAGGCCACACAGTTTCTTACATGGGGATAAGAGGGAAAATGACTTGGTGAAGGGCGAAAAAGAGAAAAATCAAAAGAGAAATTGGAAATATTTCTCAAAGAATCAATTGCTTATAATAATAATAATTAAACTTTCTAGAATGCTTTGGGTTTGGCAAAGTGCTTTACACATAAGCCTCATAACAACACGGGGGTATAATGCCATTTTACAACTGCCTACACTGAGGCTCAGAGAGGCAGGATGCCTTGTCCCCATGGTCACTCACTTAGTAAGTTTCAGACACAGGATTTGGACCCAAGTCTTCCTGGTTCCAGGTCCTTTTTCACACCGTCTCCCAGTGACAATGTTTACTTGGGTGCTGGGTTACTTCCCCCTTTAACCTCTTGGGTGACAGAACAGGGTGTTGGGCCTGGACCTGTGGGGAGGAGCTGTCAGGATGTGGCTCTAGGGGGAAATGTGGCTGTGCAGTCTTTGGCCTTAGAAGGCAAGTGTGGCTAAGACATTGGGGAAGGAGCTTTTGCCCCAAGAGAGGCAGGACATGGTCACAGCAGGACTGGTTGGGAGTCATCTCTGAGCCTGCTTGCCATTCATTGATAAGCGGCTTCCTGTTACAGGGGAAAGATTCGGGGGTCCGCAGCCTTGGATTTGAATGCCAGTTCTGTCACGTCCGGTGTGACCTTGGGCCAGTCTGCTCCTCTCTTGGGGCTTGCGCTTCCTCTTTTAAAGGATGAGATCGGATTACACCACTCTCCTTTCCCTCCTTGCTTTAACTATTCTGTGTTGTCATATAAAGAACCAAGTTGCAGATGGGACTTACATCTCTGCCTCTCTTGATCCCACAGATCACATTTCGGAAGGACCATGCCAACCTTTTTCTTCCATTAGTGCTGTTTCCAGTTCCCAGATAAACCTCCCAGGAGCGGTTTCTAACTCAGCACCAGTGCTAAGAAGGCATTCAAAGGCAGCGGTATGTATTATATCTGGGGCAAGTCACATGAAAGGCACCCTTAGCTGCATGGGGCAAGGGGTGTGGGAGGGGGCAGGCAGAGACTATGGGACACCAGTGCGAGGCTGCTTATAGGGACACTACTGTCAAGAATGGCGGATGGGAAGGAAATTTACCCCATCATGCTGAAGGCAGGCAAGTGTTGTCAGCACTCTCAGAATTTCATGCCTTAGAGTAAAGCCCCGGTTGCCCTGCCTTAGTTGCAACTCTGCTGTTCGCTGCTGTTCTGGTTTGTCTCCGTCTGCCTGCTATGTGTGTTCCAGTTGGAAATCTCAGCCTGTGGTGGCATCCTCAGTTGAATTCTTCCCCTTCTTCCTAGTTAGAGAATCTTTTAGGTGGAGGAGAAACTTCCCAGCTGCCATTGTTCCAGATATGTTCTGTCACCTGGCCAGATTATGTCCGAGTTTGCTTCTCTCCCCTGGGGGTGGGGGTGGAGGGGGGAGAGTCCTAAAAGCTGGTATTCGTAGCTTCACACATAACATAACACAGTCAGGAGAGTGTAGGACTTGGAGGGCCCTGGCTTCACATTCTCCCCTCTGCCACTTGCTAACTCTTGGGCCCAGTGAGAGTGCCTTTTAAACCTTAAGGACTGGTGGCCATACAATGGGAAGAGGGCTGGCTCTAGAGTCAGGGGTCCTGAGTTCAAATCCTGCTTCTGCTGGTTTTTACCTGTGTGATCCTGAGCAAAACATTTCACTTCTATGGGTAGGCCTTAGTTTGCTCATTGGCTTTTGTGGTCCCTACCAGCTCTAGATCTAGGACAAGGCCATTCTTATCCTTTGGAATTATCCCTTCTCCCCTGCTTCCTTGAGCTGTACCTTTCTTCTGAGCTTTCCCTTTCCTCTTTTAACCTTGTGGTCCACAAACCCAGAGAGGCTTTGTCTTAGAAAGCGTTAGCCTTCCTTTCCCTCTCTGCGCCCTCCAAATACCATCACCACCGAATCACTTCGAACCACTACAGAGCCCACCTTCCAATCCACTTCAGTGACCAACGGGATTGGCTTCCTGGCCTCCTCCCATGTCCGTTCCAGTGAACTAGAAGGGATCCCAGGCAGCGTGGCTTTGGTCATCCATTGGGGGAGGTTGGCCTTTTGTTGCTTTTTTCAGTTCTTGCTCTCCTTTTTGCTCTGACGATCACTGAAGTGGCCGTGTGTCCTTTTGCACCAGGAGATGACTGAAAATGGGAACCACCAGTTGGTAGTAAAGGCAAGGTTCAACTTTAAGCAGACCAATGAAGATGAGCTCTCAGTCTGCAAGGGCGACATCATTTATGTCACTCGAGTGGAAGAAGGTGGCTGGTGGGAAGGCACTCTCAATGGGAAAACCGGCTGGTTCCCCAGTAATTATGTCAGAGAAATTAAGCCTAATGGTAAGTAAAGCTTGATAGAGCTTTTTTTTTTTTTCTCACTGATGCTTTCTTGAGTGTTTACATTTTTTTTCTAAACATCATTGGCACTTCCCAGTAACCCTCTTTGGAACAGTCCCTTGTAACAAAGGGGAAAATCAAACAAGGCAGAGTGACACATAGAAGCATGTATGACAGTGTATGTAGCATTTTGTATCCATTGTCCACCACCTCTGTCTCTATTGAGGGGAGGCACATATGTTTCATCATCAGTCAGTCCTTTGGTCATTATGTTCTTCTGAATTCTTAGGCTTTTGAGGTCATTATGTATGTTGTTCTCTTCTTAACTTCCCTACCAAAGGTTTTTTTGTGGGCACCAGTGATGAACAGCAAATTTGCAGATGAATGTTTATCTCTTTAACAAAGTCAACTTAATAATACAGCAGAGAGAGCCAGCAGAGCCTTTCATTTGGGCTTTCTATGCCAAGCTGTGCTTTAGGAACATCAAGGCTTCAGGAGACACAAAGAAAGCAGTGGCTCCACCTTAAATTGGTCCCTTTTGGTCTGCCTGGTGACTGAAGCCCAGCCAGCCAGGAGCGCCTGCCCAGTGGTGCCTGCCTGCTGACCTCAGCCTCTTGGGATGGCAGAATAGGATAAGCAGATATGTCTAGAGGTCTTATGCTAACTTCCTTGTTTAGCCAGGGGCTCTTAAGGAGGCCTCAAGAGCAAATGCCTCATTGATGTGTCAGAGAGAATGGAATTGTGTGTGTGGAGTGGACCAGGCTAAGGGGTCATCTGGCCCATCTGGGTGAGCCTGCTCGGCAATCATCTTAGGCAAATGGCCGTCCTAACTGCCCCCAGAGAAAGACAGCCAGCTGACCTCTCTTCCAGCCATACTTTGGGATCCTTGGATTTGGGAAACTTTCCTGAATCCTTCCTGTTACACAGTGATCCTTGGGGAAAGCCCCCTCTCAACATTCCTTTTGCTTCCTGGAGACTGTCACCAACTGGCTCTCTGCAAGTGCTAATCTGGCCAGGCCCTGCTTCAAAAGAAGGGACTCCAGGCAATTGCTTCTCAGCATACATCAGTTAGGGACAGACATTTAAGTGGCCTGCTCCCCTGGGCTTTCTAAGTAGGTACCTTTTGGTAATATTCAGTCTCCCCACAGCTTTTCAGACATAAATCTGCAGCACTAAGTGAGGTATTTCTGTGATACAATCTGTATTTACTGGCATTAACTTTTTTTTAAATTTAGGCAATTGGGGTTAAGTGACTTGCCCAGGGTCACACAGCTAGTAAATGTCAAGTATCTGAGGCCAGATTTGAACTCAGGTCCTCCTGACTTCAGGGCTGGTGCTGTATCCACTGCACCACCTAGCTGCCTCTTAACTTTTTTTTTTTTTTGAGAGGCAGTCTGTGGAGTCAGGAAGACCTGGGTTCAAATCTTGCCTTTGACTTGGATTGGCTGTGTGACCCTGGGCAAGTCACTTAACCTTTTAGTGTTGCAGTCAATTCACTCTCTCTTAAGACTGTAAGTGGCTGCCAGCTGCTACTCTGCTTCATTAGGTGAGTTCCTAAGTCTGATGAAATCAATCGCAGGTTCAGACCTAAAAAATTCCCCAAAGTTTTGATCCCGTTTTTGCAGACTTCTTGGCATTTCCCCCTTTACTGTGTTTTTCAGCCTTTGGAAGGCATAATCCTCAGCATGTACTTTGTTTTTTGTTTTTCGTTTTTCCTCTTTTCTTTTACAAAATATTTTATTTTTTCCCAATACATGTAAAGACAATTTTTAACAGTCATTTAAAAAAAATTGTGAATTCCAAATTTTCTTCCTTCCTCCCTCCCCTCCTCCCCTCCCTGAGATAGTGAGCGATTTGATAGAAGTTATACATTTGCGATCATGCAAAACACATTTCCATATTAGTCATGTTTGTAAAAGAAGACACGGACCGAAAGGAAAAAAAAACATGAAAAAAATAAAGTGAAAAATAGTATGCTTTGATCTGCATTCAGATTGCATTTTCTCTGGATGCAGATAGCATGTTCCATCATGAGTCTTTTGGCATTGTCTTGGATCATTGCATTCCTGAGAAGAGCTAAGTCTATCAAAGCTGGTCATTGCACCATGTGGATGTTACTGTGTATAATGTTCTCCTGGTTCTGCTTACTTTGGCAGATTGTTCAGAGTGTGGAGCTGGGCTCTATCAGTTCATCAGTAAACATTTATTAAGCACCAACTGTGTGCCAGTCACTGTGCTAAGTGCTGGGGTCCAGTTTGGGAACACACTGGTATGGGACAGAGACCTCTCTGGGGCCTTCTCCTGGGGCCTTGAAGCCTTCCTCCCAAGGATTGCCACTTTGGCCATTGCTGACCCTGCGTCCTGGCCTCCTGCCCATGTTCTCCCTAGCTTCCTGAATAATGATGATTAATAAATAATAATAACGGTGATGACAGTATATGCTGATATAGTAATGATGGTGATGATGATAGTAATAGTAATAATGAGGATGAGGATGATGCCAATGATAGGTAACATTTCGTGAGGGCTTTCAGGTTCACGAAGTGTTTTACAAGCATTATCTTAATTTGCTTTGAATTTGAACCCAGTTCAGAACTCACTGAGGGTAGTCGCTAAGCCAGATTGTGTCTGTCATTCAGAGACCAGCCTAGCTAAGCCCAGAGAGCTTCTGCAGCAGCTTGGCCATGGGATGAAGAGTTTTTCATCTTTAGCAATTCTCATTATGCACTAGAATGGAAGGGTAGCAATCTGTTGGGTTAGAGTAGCATGCACCCATAGAGATGTAATCTCAGATCCCCAAAGTATTGAGATTAGGTATGATGTTCTCCTGTTTCCACCCCAGGTTTGCTGCAGCAAAAGTTAGGCATTCAGAGTGGCAATTAAAGGGTGGAGGTGAAACTGGAGGGAGGTCCCTAGTGGAGTGCCACAAGGCTCTGTTCTGTACAGCATTATCAAAGGACCAGTCTAATGAGATGAAATTGAAAAGGGATAAATGTTAGGCATGGACCCAGGGTTTAGTGGACCATATATTCAAGGCTACGTTAACAGAGGGATAGTGTCCAGAATGAGAGAGATGATAGCCCTACTCTACTCCTCCTTGGCCAGGCCACTGCGTTCAGTTTTCTGGATGCCATATTCTAGGAAGAGCAGTGACAAAGTGGTGTTTAGAGAGTGCATGGAGTGCTGGATTGAGTTCTGCTCTTGGAGTTAGGAAGCTGTGGGTTCAAATCCAGCCTCAGACACTAACTAGCTATATGACTCTGGGCCCTGAGATGGCCTCTGATACCCTAACTCTAATATTTTGGGATTTCCTGAGTTCGTTGCCAAGAACCCAAGGTTGTGAAGCCTTGTCCAAAGGTGCCTGGAGATAACTTGCAAAGCGCATCATTGGAGAACCCCAAGCCCCTGACTGGTTGGTGCTGGGGAGTGTGTGATGCTGATTACCTAGAGAGTAACTCTCTTAGAGAGTCAATGCCCAGACTGCCGGAAGGCTAAGTGACTTACCCGTGGTCATAGCGATGGTGTGTGTCTGGGCAGAGCTCAAACCCAGATCTCTGTCCACCCCCTACTCCATCCTCCCCCACTGCCTCTACTCCTTTAAGGGTTCTAAAATACTTTCCAAAGCATCTGAGCTCAGTCAGACACAGTCAGCCCCCAAAAAGATGGAACATAGTCGCTCTGACTTTGAGAAGGCAGAAGGCCTTTCTGGCCCTTCTCGGGGTGGAGGTTTCCATCATACATGTGCTACCTCGATGGGCCCTGTTAGCCCAAAAGCCCACCTTTGTTTTTGTTTTGTTTTGTTTTAGCGGTAGGCTCAATTCAGAGAAGCCATTTGTCAGAGATGGTGATTGACTGGAGCAGAACAAAGAGCCATCTTACCCGACAAATGTTTCTGAAGCACCTACTATGTGTTAGGGAATTGTTCTAGATCCTGGAGCTACAGAAACAAACAAACAAAGCAACCCCTGCCCTGAGAAGCTTATCATTCTGCCAGCTATAATCCTGGCATCTGTAGGTCAAGGTCATTGCAAACTGGAAAGCACTAATTCCCTGGGGCCATGTTGCCCACCTCCTTCCCGCAAGAACCTCAGAGTTTACCCCCTGGAGCCCTGCTAGACTCTGATAGGTGAGCCCAGAACCAGGCCCCCCACCTTACTTCCATAAGGCCAGTCCCACCTTCCCCCATTAGAATGGAAACTCCCGGAGGAGAGACTTTCTTTTTGTTTGTATTTGTATCCCTAACACTTAGCACAGTGCTTAGCACACAGTAAGTGCTTAATAAATGCACACTCTATCTTTCTCTATCATCCATCTCTATCTCTCTCCTTCTCACTACCAACCTATCTATCTCTATAAATGTTAGTTACTGTTATTATTTAGTATTGTCCTTTACATGTCTTTATCTTTTCTTGAATAATAACTCAATGGCATGTATCTTCTCTGATACGTTAAATCCGGCCTGATCGCTTAGTCTGGTGCCAGGATTTTGCAGTGCTATCGATCTGTTATAAAATCGCTGCTGTCTCTTGCTATCCCCTTGGAGGCCTTAGGCAGATGGTTTCAAATGAAGGCTTGCCATGCTATGCTGTCCTGCTCTTCCTTCTCTCCCTCCCTATGTCGCAGAAGCTTCATTTGCAAGCTCAGGACTTTTTCAGGAAATGCCAATGATGATTGGGGGGGTGGTGGTGAGAGAGGAAAGGGTGATGAGAATTCCATTGGGGGAAAGGACTTGTTTGACAGATTTTGTGAGATGTTCCGAGTGACATCAGTGCTGAAGCATGTCTTCCAAGGTGAATGAATGGCCTGTTCTGTGAGTGAGGGAATGAGGCCCTGCAGTGTTTCTGAGGGCCCCGGCAGTAAATGCAAGGATTGTTTGTAAAAGCTATTGGAATATAATTGCATTTGCCCCTGTTCTTGGCCAGTAGGTACTCAGTCATCCCCATTGACTGGTAGTGGATGGCTGTCCAGGACAAGCCTGTGCCCCGTTTAGCAACATGTAGGTG